TAATAATTTAAGTCATTGTAAGTTTAAATATTAGACAAATTAAGTGTTGTCTTCTGGATTTTGAGTTTTTTTTTTATATATAAATCTGGGGTGAATACAATGTACTATCTGTACAAAGACTAAACCGTTTGACAACGAATACTCATACCCTTACATATGCAATGCTCAAACTCGGGACCTCAAGAATAACATTAATCCCTTAATCACTAAATTTTGAATATGAATACTTAATAGGTCATTTTATTTTTCTTAAATAGCATAATATTCTTACCCTTGTTAATATTTAATTCAGACTCCATCCCTACCTGCAAACCAACTGTTTAAACCCGAAGCCTCTAAATAAAACAACACATTCTTTCATACAATGGTTAAACCTAGTTATCAATGATCTACTTATTAATAGAAACTATTTGCAGATTATAGCCATAGATTCAGATAGGGAAGCATGTGGGATAGGTCTGCCTATTTTCCAAAAAGATGGTGTGGAACACAATATCAACTTCATTGAATCCAAAACTTTACCGGTTCTGGACAAGCTTCTACAAAATTTAAGCATTAAATGCCCATCTTCTCAATCCCAGCTTTGTTTAGCAATTTCTTCAACTTCAGTCAAATCAAATCAAACTCATATTCCTTCTTCTGGGGTTTTGATTTCAGCAGAAAGATAATGAAGGGAGTTTTGATTTTGCATTTGTCGATGCGGATAAGGATAATTACCTGAATTACCATGACAGGCTTTTGAAGCTTGTCAAAGTTGGCGGACTGATCGTCTTCGACAACACGCTTTGGGGAGGCACCGTGGTTCAACCGGAAGAGGATGTTCCGGGAAAGAGAAAGGAATCATGGAGGTCGATCATCGAGTTTAACAAATCGATTTCGACGGATCAACGCGTCAAAATCGCTCTTGCTCCATTGGGTGATGGGATCACCATCTGCAGGCGCATTTGTTGATGTTGTTTGAAACTATCTGCACTTTCATTGTTACGATCTTGCAATAAATCAGAGCATTGGCAATAAGAAAAGTACATTTGCACATTCATTATTACGTTTACCCTGCCTTGCAGCTTACGATATCCAAGCGATGAAATAACTTTCATAGGGTTTCCATAAGAAATGTTCATTGCCCTTCAAACTCATACACGGTTGGCTCAGTCAAGTGAATAGAGGGAATTAATATGCAATGGATGTTAATTTGACAAATAATTTTTGTTTGGATGTTAATATCCAATCCGCTCGTCTCTATTATGATCTCTAAGTGTAGGGTAGAATTAGCATTTAAGAAAATGGTTAAATTCGGGAAATTTTTTTAATTTTTTTTATTATCTTTAGTTTTGACCTCCGAAAATATAGAAAGTTATAGACAGAATCCTTTGTTTATTAAAGTTTCTAAAGGATCTCTGATCTTTAGTAACAAAAGCATCATTAATCTCCGAATAGACTATAATACATTGATAAAATCTTTGATAGACTTATGTAAGTAAAATTATCTGATTATTCAATATATCTGACATGTTGACCTACAAATAACTATAATATTCTGATATCTACATTGTCAACTAAGTACTATTATAAATACCTCTCACCCATGATCAAACAAGAGTTAAATACTTTCTCCTTACATCCTTCTTCACGCCTTTAATTTTTTATAAATAAATATTGTTCAACGATCGTTTCTTTACCCATCATGATTCTTCACGCAAATTAAAAAGAGTAAACTATTATATATATATATATATATATATATTAAAACAAAAGTTTATTTACTTCGTCAATTGAAGCAAGTTGATGATTACTACTTAAAAAGCAAAAAGAAGTATCATAAAAGTTCAAGAAAAAGAAAGTAAAGAGAAGGAACTGAACCATTTCCATAGCTTTTGAAAAAGTTAATCAAAAGTCAAAATTCTTAACCTAGACTTTAATTTCAACTTAATTTACAGTAAATACCAAATAATTTTAACTATTCTAATATTGAATTCAACGTTAAAATTTTGACTTTAATTTTTAATATCAAATTTCTCAGCTTATCAAAAAAACACATTAATCTGATTATATTTTTTTACAGTAAACAGAAGTAATTTTTCCTCGACATTATTACAGTCATTTGCTTAGAAAATACAAAAAAAAACATTTTTATTGAAATTTTTTAAAATTATTTTTATGAAATGAAGTTAAAAATGTGTAAAAAAAAACAAAAAAAAAACTATTTTCAGATTTCAGTAAAAATTAAATTTTAAAAATTTAAAAATAAAATTTTTTATTTAATAAATTGATCTTGGTTTAAATTCATATGAACACAATAACTAACATCATTTTTTAATAATTTTATAATATCAAAAATTTAATTTTAATTAGAACCAGTATAAATGTAAGATGTTTTTATTTCTCATATTTTTATTATAAAAAGTAGGTAATACAGTAGTCAATTACACAAAGAACCCTTGGAGAGACTCTTGACTAGAGATGCACATAGCCGGATTTAAATTCGATCTGGATCGGATAAAAATTGATCCGGTTTTTTCACTAACCCAAAAAATCGGTTTATAAAAAAACCGGTTCGGATCATAACCGGTTTGGAGGGTCGGATGATGTAACCGGTTTCGGTTTGAAAAAAACCGGTTTTTAATCTAGTAAAAAATCCGGTCGTCCAATTATTTTCCAAACCGGTTATACTATCCGGTTTTAAAATACCCGATCCGGTTTAAAAAAAAACCGATTTTTCCCAAATCCGATTTCAAATATTTTTTACGTAAAATCGAATATTCGAATTTTTTGTGCACCTCTACTCTTGACTAAAATCCCTTATGGATTGTCCAAGTGGATAAATTGCTTGATAAATAGGCATACTTATTAATTATCATATTATATCTTAATAATTACGTTCCATCTGAAATGATTTTTAGAATCCGTTATAATTTATTTTATTTAGAATTATAATACAATATAACATTATTTTATTTTTATTCCATAAATTATTTATTTTGATCTATTAATAACTCTCATGTGAAATCTCAAGATACAAAATAATTATTGTATTTAAGCTTAGGAGCAAACATAGAATCTTTCTTTTTTCGTAATAATCATCTCCTTTCTTATCCTTATAAGTTTGATTGTATATTTTTGTAATTTACTAACTTGTACTACACGAGGTGAATCAGTCATTTTTTTCCGTTAACACTTTTTTATATCAATAATTGGTGTAGTAAGGGTAGAGAAAAAACCCTAAACGTCATTTTTCATTTTCTATCTTTAATTGATAGATGATAATATTTATTTTAGTGTTGATTATTATCGTCGATCATTTTTTATTTATTTTTATATAATATATTTGTCTTTTTTTAGTTTTTAATAACTCTATATTTATGACACGTTTTCAATCATTTGGTTGTTTTTGTTTATCTTTTATTCTCATGGTTAGATTTAACATCGTCATGATTGATCAAGATGTCGTTTATTTGTTTTCATGCTGATCTTTCGTACTTTGGACCCTTTAGATTTAATTTGGGTACGCGATTTGTATTCGTGCATAGTTTTTTCACGACACTCAATTCTAATTAGCGATTTTCTGTGGTCTTCCAGTAGCTTGATTCTCTTTTGTGGTTTGTTTGTCGATGCGAAAATATTTGTTTGTATCTATCATTTGTTCAAATTTTATGTTTGGTCTTTGTGTGATCTTAAATGACTAATTTCTTGTGTCAGTAGTTATAAACAATATCCTAATTAATTATTGTAAACATTTCATTATTTTTTAATAAAACTAGCTTCTTCTATAATAATAATAATAATAACTGGCGTATTAGATGTGAATTTATTTCTTATATCAATAGATATAAAATATATTTTTATTATTAAAATAATTTTTTATCAAACATGTTTCTCAATTTATATAAAATGAAAATGAAAATTATATTTTTCAAAAGAAAAATATTAAAATACATTTAAATTTAAAATAAAATAAATCTAAATAAAATTCACTGTATAAAAAATTAAATAGAAGTATGAAATAACATCCGAACTTTAAATATAAATATCTGATGCCTCCCAAAATTTGGTTGACAGATATATAAATTTTTTAATATTTTGTGTAGCTGTCAGTTTAGCTTTCCCATCATCTCCCCAAAAAACCAAAACATAAACAGACACAAAGACAGTACTCAGCTGTCCATTTTAATATAGTTGAATTCCATTTTGTCCGATTTCTTTACTTTACTAATATATGCAACTAACTAACTTTCTTGTTCAACCAAAAAAAAAAATAACTTTCCTATAAATTTCCCCCAATAAAATAAAATAAAAAACAAACACCAAGTTAGATGTAATCGAATTCTCCATTTGAATATTCAAATGTATTTTATTTTTCATAATCAAATTTTATATAAATATTAGTTAAACTTTCCCATCATCTCTGAGGAAAAAAACAAAGCAGAAATACACTTGAAAATATAGGTTTTTTTTTATCTGAATAATTTAAAAATAATTTTTAAATTAAAATTATTTATATATTAATTATTAATATGATGTTTTTTAAATTAACATTCGGTATATATTAATTATTAATATAATATTTTTCTTTTAATGTCAAATATATATAGATGTGTTAAATTGATTATGTTTCTATAAAAATCTACGCGACATATTTAATTAATAAAAATATTATTTTAAAAATTATATAATTATTAATTTAAGAAATAACTTTTTTTTCATGATAGAATTTGTCAAGAACCAAGAGAATCGTTTGCGGTGTGATCTCCTACTAAAAGGAAGACATGATTTCGAAAAATATTATTAATGTTTGATTAAATAATTTTTTTGATATTTATTTTGTTTGAATATTTTGACTTTCCACATTTTATTGTAGGATAAAAAGACTCCTAATATTTGGCTAAATAATTACTTTAATTCTTATTCTCTTTTTGAGCATTTTAGCTTCAAGCATTTTGACATCTTATACCATACAATTTTTTTATTTACATATAATATTTTTAAGTCTATATTTATTAAACGATTGAAAATAAAAATTATCAATATGTATCATTGTTTAATTTAGGCCGGTTAATATTTTTTTTAATATTCCAGTAAAAGAAAGCTATTATTGAGTGTGAATTTCGTCACCAGACATTGTCGAATGATTGAGAAATGATAGGGCAGAAATTTCGATGCAGGGCCTTTTGGTAGGAAAAAAAGGGTTTAATCATTTAATGGTGGGGCCATGGATCCACGCATTTTCACGCGGATTCCACGCAATGCTACGGGAGACGAAGCACATCAAATTACAAGGGGGGGGGAGGTTTTGCTATTGACTTGAACCAGATTTCTTCCCACCTCACTCGTTTTTATTTTATTTGATTAAAGACTTTTCCATCAGAACAAACAGCTCCCATCTCATATACTTTCTAAACCATGACTGTTCCACTTGTTTCCATTAACCCCAAACATGCCTTTGCTTTCACCCCACACCCACGACTCACAGCACAGCTTTGGGTCTCTGCAAATGAACATGGATTTGGATAAGGAGTTTGATGTTGTGCCTTATGGGGTGGATTATGGCACCCTTGAAAATGGCCTCGTTTACTATGTTAAATGTAATCCTAAGCCCAGAAAACGAGCTTCCCTTGCTCTTGCTGTCAAAGTCGGGTTAGTTAACTTCCCTCTTTCATTCGATTCCAGTTTTATGAGTTTTTAAGTTTTCAATTTTGATGTTTTTGTATAAATCTGGGATTCTTGTCAGCTCGATTTTGGAAGAGGAAGATGAGCGCGGAGTTGCTCACATAGTTGAGCATCTTGCCTTCTCTGCCACAAAGAAATACACCAACCACAGCATTGTTAAATTCCTCGAAAGTATTGGAGCCGAATTCGGACCTTGTCAGAACGCAGAGACATCCTTTGATGAGACTGTGTATAAATTGTTGATCCCCATTGACAAGCCTGAGCTGTTATCTGAAGCTATTCAAGTCCTGGCTGAGTTTAGTTCAGAGGTATCAGCTAATTGATATTCATTGTTTACACTGAATTTATACCCATATTTGAATATATATCGGATAAAAGCATTTGTGAGTTGTGATATGTAGATTCGGCTCTCGAAAGATGATTTGGAGAAAGAGAGAGGAGCAGTTATGGAAGAGTATAGAGATAATCGAAATGCTAGTGGAAGGATACTTGATGCTTATTGGACATTGATGATGGAAGGCTCCAAGGTAAATTTACTGAATCTAATCCACCATTAAATTTTATGAGCCTTCGTTTATTTCTATTAAAAAACACTTATCAAGGAACTTTTGTCATTCAAATATTAAAAACAAACAGAATCGGTACATTTACAAATTACGTGCTTTTGCCATGATGGACCGAGGAGGCAGGTCGCTCCTCCTAAAAATTTAAAATTATCATATATTTTATATTTTTTTATGTATGTTTTATTAAAAATCTATTTCCAGTTCTAAAATTTTATAAGTTCGTTCTCTCTTCAAATTTTATAAATTCGTCCCGATATAAGATTTTGTGTACCTTACTTTTGCAATGCTAGATACAGTTGCACGAAAGATATTTCAAAGAATTTCAACACTAAACATATTCTAATCATTGTTGCCATTTCATATTGCACCAATTAAATACATCAAAATGGAAGGGTCTATATTAATAAGATTTAAATGTAAGCGTGGGATATGAGTGTATTTTTAATAGCGTAAAATAAACAAATAGTATTTCGACTATAGAGTATTATTTTATTTAGTCTTTCGACTATTAAAAGTTATAAAATGGTCTCTCGATTATAGAGCGCTGCTTTGTTGAGTCCTCCACCTTTTTAAAGTTACAAAATGATCACTCGACTATTTATATGTTTCAAACTCGTAATTTTTTCGTTAAAAATTGGTGGTCGTCTAAGTTGGACGTTAACCTATTTGACTGAGATATAATAAAATCTGATCCCAAAATGGTTTGAGTTGTATTTTATATATCAAACTCTCCGTTTACATTATGTCATCGAGTCAGTGTTTTAAATTAACGACGATGCCAATAGACAACATTAAAGTATGATTTTATCATATTTCAATCAATATTTTAACATCCAACGCAGACAATCGTTAATCTTTTAACAGAAAATGACGAGTTTGAAACATATGAATAGTTGGTTGACCATTTTGTAACTTTTAATAGTCGGAGAACCATTTTATAACTTCAATAGTTGATGGACTCAACAAAATAACACCCTATAATTGAGAGATCACTTTACCCTTTTTAATAATGGTGTTTTTAAAGTTTAAATATTTAGGCTCATCTCTCATATCCATATTTAGATATGTACGGTAATGATTGTTATATATGAATATGCGTATGCTTAATTTTCTTAAAGATTTTTCACATATGCGATCAAATCCTCATGCATGTCCAATATATGTTGGACAATGTTGTTCCATGCATCATGCAAGTCTTTAATGGTTTTAAGCAAGTAATCAATCATGAACATTGTTCATTTGGCTCATGACTTCTCAACCTTGGTTAACTGCAGTATGCTGATCGATTACCTATTGGACTGGAAAAAGTAATAAAAACAGTTTCTCCTCAAATTTTGAAGCAATTTTATCAAAAATGGTACCATTTATCCAATATGGCAGTGATTGCTGTTGGAGATTTCTCGGATACAAAGGTCGGTCTTTGATATTTTGCAAACTTCTCCTACTGGGATCACCAGTTATGATAAATTAATCAACATTTTTTGCTTTCTATCCAGAGGGTCATTGAGTTGATAAAGATTAATTTTGGACATAAATATTCAGCATTGGACCCTCCACCGATACCTCAGTTTAAAGTTCCTCCCCATGAGGATCCTCGCTTTTCATATTTTGTGGAACCTGAAGCATCCGGGGTTAGTAATCTATTTACTTCTTTCAACTTTTTCGTGCTTATGTATGTTGAAAATATACATTTGTCGATGTGAATGTTTGTTTGCAAAAAGTCTGCAGTGGTGATTAGCTATAAAATGCAAGAAGATGAAATGAAGACAGTGAAAGACTATAGGGAAATGCTGGTAAAATCCATGTTTCGTATCGCTCTGAATCGAAGGTTGTTTCGGATTTCCCGAAGAAAGGATCCTCCCTATTTCTCGTGTTCGATTGCTTCGTATGTTCTTGTTCGCGATTTAAAGGCTTATATAATGACTTCATCTTGTAAAGAAAAGGGGACTTTAGAAGCCCTTGAATCCATGCTTATTGAGGTCTGACATTTTTTTTCCTTCAGCATTCTGATTTGCTCTGTTCTTTGTTTTCTTAAATTTTTCTTCATCTTTTTCTCATGCATTGTATGGCAGATTGCAAGAGTACGACTTCATGGATTATCAGAACGCGAAATATCTGTTGCTCGAGCTCTACTGATGTCGAGTATAGAATCCGCATATCTGGAACGTGATCAAATGGAATCGAGCAGCTTGCGATATGATTATACACAGGTGTGTGATAAACAGTCACCGACAGTCCGACCTGTTTAACCTCTGATCCGGTTTTTATTTTATTCAATCTAAACCTAAGGCAGCAGCATATGGAAAATGTATCATGTCATCGTGTTTTGTTTTGTAGCACTTCACTGACAATAAGCCCATTATTGGGATAGAATATGAAGCTCAGCTCCACAAGTTTATTCTCCCGGGTCAGTGAAATGTTCCAACATTATTAATTTTTGCTGTTTTCAGGAGCTTCAAAATAAGAAAATAAATGAAATCTCATATAATATATTGTTCAATTCATGATTTTATCTTACATAGATATATTAGCATCAGAGGTATCCAAGTTTGCTGAGAAATTATGGACATCATATAGCTGTGTCATACAAATAGTTGAACCACAAGCTTTTGCCGTCATCGATGACATGAAAAATATTGTCATGAAGATCAACGAGCTTGAGAAAACAAGGAGCATTTCTCCTTGGGATGATGAACATGTTCCAGAAGAAATAGTAAATTCAAAGCCAAATACTGGGTAAACTTGACATATTCTATCTTGTATTCTATCATACACATACCTCATCATTCATCTCGAGTCCGAGTTACTTAGCTTCTAAGTTTCACCAACTAGTGCTTCTAGATTTAGCCAGTCTACTCTACTGTCTGATTATGGCCCTGTTTTAAACTTTATGAAGTATTGTAGAACAGTCAAAATTAATGAATGGGATGATATTTTAACCAAATTATGCTGAATGAGTTACCAGTGCCTTTCTAAATGAGCCTTTTTTGTTATCTCTAAAATTCTTTAACCAGGCATGCTTGGATATCCCATTTTCTGCATTAATAGATAACTTCTTCAAAAGTTAAGGTTAGTTTTATAAACTGAATTTTATTATTTCCGTCAGGAACATTGTTGAGCAGCGTGAGCATGTAAATATTGGAGCTACTGAATTGACTCTATCCAATGGAATGCGTGTTTGCTATAAGTGTACAGATTTCTTTAATGACCAGGTATACAGGTTTATACCTGTTCTTTATTTTGTTCGAAGTACCCTTGTCTGACATATTAGGATATGGATATGAAGATATGACCCTCCAAATATATTGAAAACTTTAGAAGAAGAAATAAAGCATGCTCATATTTGGCGCATGCCTTTAAAAGAAACTCAAACTCACACCCAAATCCGAAAACAGGAAACACAAACAGTTTAAATTCCACTGTATTTCAGAAATTGTGAATTTGAACCCAGATTCTAGATAATTTACACCATGGTACTTTCTAAAAGCCATTTAACTTTAATTTCTTGGACTTTAAGTAATGACTCAGCCTTGATTTGATTACTAGTTCATGTGAAGCATATAAATCTTACAGTGTTGTTTCAATAGGTTCTTTTCACTGGTTTCTCCTATGGTGGTTTATCTGAACTCCCAGAAAGCATATATTACTCATCTTCAATGGGATCAGCAATTGCAGAGGAAATTGGCATGTTCGGTCATAGACCATCGGTGCTAATGGACATGCTGGCCGGTAAGAGAGTTGATGTGGATATAGATATCAGAGCTTACAAGAGAACATTTTATGGTGATTGTTCACCCTTGTACTTGGAAACTGCCTTTCAGGTTTGCTCTATTAGACACTGTTAATAGTGAAATTGTTTCTTTTTTGTCCTTCCTTTTTTTCTAAAACATTATTCAATCGATAATTACCTATGGTAATCTGACTCATAATTTTCTTTATCTTATTTAATACATCAACAACAAAATTCCAAAACCAATCACTCACTAGTTTCTGATTATTCCTTCTGGCAGCTTGTTTACCAACTTTTCACAACTAAAGTAACACCAGATGATGAAGTCATTAAAAGAGTGATGCAAGTGAAAGAGGAAGCAATTCTTGCTCGAGAAAGGGATCCATACACTTCATTTTCTAACCGAGCATGGGAGATCAACTATGGGAACTCTTATTTTTTCCGGGTATGAATGATTAGTAGCCACGTTACTCCACTCTTTATTTTTCTTGAAGTGTCCGTATCTGATATGGATACAAGAACAAAACCCTCCAATGACCTTCAAATACATGGAGATACTTGCAAAAGTTCTTGTAGTATACTTGGAACTTAATATTTACTTTTGATTGCAGCCTTTTAAAATAAATGATCTTCAGAAAGTCAATCCATTAAAAGCATGTGAATATTTCAATACTTGCTTTAAGGACCCATCGACTTTTACTGTCGTAATCGTCGGGAAAACCGATCCCACAGTTGCAGTTCCTTTGATACTGAAGTATTTGGTAAGTTGAAGATCCTTTTTTCCAACCTCCCCATTCTTGGAATTCATGCAATTGTTGTTAACATGTTATGAGTTCTTGATTTTTGCATGCAGGGTGGAATAGAAAAGCCTCCTCAACCTATTCTCCATTTTCACTCCGACTACATCAAGGGCCTTCCATTTAAATATCCTGAATCCACAACTAGGTAAGTTCACTGTGGTTTCAACTTTCGGCTCTTCATTTTAGTTTAAGTAATATGTTTGACATGTACTCGGACATAGGTCTGGAAATATAGCTCTCCATTCCAAGGAACCTCCAAATACATTGAAAAACCTAAAAAAAAAACAAGCATGTGTCGAATATATACTCATATTCGATATTCACACCTGAGTCCAAGTAACATTCAAGGATCATGTCTGATGATAATAGTTTCATGGAGCTCACATTGTGTTCTTCTGATATGTGATGTGCTTGTAGAGAAGTCGTATGCAGTCCCATGATCGAAGCTCAATGTATGGTCCGGATATGCTTTCCTATAGAGCTGAAGAATGTAGCTATGGTTTGTTATTCTTCCAATTGATCTATTAGAAGTCCATTAATGGAAACCTGATTCTATTATTGACTTTTACAATATCATTCTGTTGGAACAATGAAATTGTAGGAAGAAGAGATCCATTATACAGGGTTCCTAACCAAACTGCTAGAAACGAAACTACTTCAGCTTCTCCGATTCAAACATGGCCAGGTATGGTGTACCGTTTATCTATGCTGCTTCAACTTGTCATTTTTCGTTAAATACCCGTGTCTAACATCTATGTTCGACACATTGGTATCGGAATATGAACTCTTAAGGATCTAAGTACATTGGTATCATTTGTCTTATTCTTCAGCCTTATATTTTGTATGAACAATTTTGTTCTCTGTGTTCCCAGATCTACTCTGCAAGTGTTTTGGAATTCATTGATGGTGATCTGCCATGTCTAACTGGAGATATTCGCGGTGACATTCGAATTGATTTTTCCTGCGATCCAAAAATCTCCTTGAAACTGGTATCTTAACCTTATATCGATCAAGACTCTTCATTTTTGCCCAAGTATCCATATCTAATTCCCACCAGGAAATTTTTTTCAAAAATGGGTATGGGGAAATGATTTTTTAAAGACCCTCTAATTGCATAGGAAAACTTAAAAGAGTTGAATATACTTACACAGACTTGTATATGACACTCACATTTAACCATGCAATATTTCTTAACAGGTTGATCTTGCTTTGAATGAAATATTACGTCTTCAAGAGGAAGGGCCCTCAGATCAAGACGTTGAAACCATACTTGAAATCGAACAGATAGCCCATGAAAATGGACTGCAGGAGAACTATTACTGGCTAAATCAGATTCTCTGCAGCTATCAATCACGGATTTATTCCGGTGATATCGGAACTTCTTTCAAGGTTAGTGGAAGAATAAGGGGAAAGGTTGCATTTTAAGGAGGGTTTATATGAACCGATTAATGTCAAAGTTTATCTACACAGAGTTGACAGAAAATATGTTCTATTACAAGTTATCTTATTTACATGAGTAAAACTGCTAATAATTTACTTTGATATTTGTGCTGCGCAGATTCTCGACGAAGGGCGTTCAAAAGTAAGAAAATCTCTGACGCCATTAACAATGCAATTGGCATTGCAGAGGATAATGCCGCGCAGAAATCTGCACACTGTTGTGATTCTAATGCCCCAAACATCTTGGTTCAAGAGGATTAAATCCTTTTCACAATGGTCCCGTCAAGGGATAGATATGAAGGTTAGTCATCTTACCATTTTTGGTTTGAATTTTCAGTATCTGATTCGAACTCCAAATCCATCGGATGAATGGATCGAACAATTCGGATTCTTGTTAATTTTCTTTGGTTTCTTGTGATGCACGGAATCAAACAAACATATTGTTTATATTGGCAGATTTTAGCAGCCATTGCTGGTTTCACAGTTTTGGCTCTCGGTTTTCGGAGATACTCGAAGAAATCTTAGAAGAAAAAGAAACTGTGTTGATTCAATCTCCACTTTCTGATGAACATAGAAACTTCCTGCAAGTCAAGAATTCATTGATGGAAGAGAGTTCAGTTCCAGCATTATTGATATTTTATTTCCAGTGTGAAATGGATTCAGCGACATATTGTGTTCTTTGTATGTTCCGATGGTAAGTAGTTTGTATTATCATAAAATTTTGATATTATATTGTGTAGATTTTTAAGACATTTGTTTACTCGTGATTTTTTTACCATATCAGTTAAATTATGAATTTCCTTTATATATCATTTCTGTTTCTTTGTAGCAGCTTGCTCTCATGGATATAATACAACACGATGTATATAAAAAAATATATGAAATTAAAAAGAAAATTTCAAATAGCAAGGTCGAGTTGAATTCTTTTAGGGGCAAATCTAAAAATTACCCCTATAATTTGTGTAATTTGAATTTAATTCAAATTTAAAATTCACTAATATTATTTTTGATGTAACACAACCTAAAATTTACATAACACATACTCAAATAATTATGTTTATCAAATATAAAAATAAATCTATATATTTATTTTATTGTGTATAGTTGAATCAAAATCAAAATTTTATGTATACATTTAAACTACAGTTATATAATTACACCAAAACGATGATCATATATAAAATTGATGATAAGTATCTTTTAAAAACATAACATGTATAATGTATCATAGTTTTTATATTTCACTAACTAACGAAATATACCAAATAGTAATATTTTAGATCCGATGAATTTAGTCGAGCCAGACTTACAATGGATTAGAGGTTACCAAAGGCCCAATTAAAGATTTCGGTCCGCGGTCATAATATTGCTAAATAAAACGACGCCGCTCCCATCGATCATGTAGAAAGCCTTGCAAATTAGGGTTTTGTCATCCTCGTTTCTATTCAAAGTTCCTTTCTCCACATCTTTTGCCTTCAAACACCGTTCAGGTCTCTCTCTCTATGTGAACTATCATTTTCTCGGTTATTTATTTATTCTTTAATAAATTTTCTGTTGTTAAGGCTTGATTTCGATATGATAAATCGGTGATTAAATGCAGGTAGGGATTAAATCCAGAAAGAGTGAAAATGGTTGAGAAAACAAGGGGAAGAAAGGAAGAGGTGGTGACCAGAGAATACACCATCAACCTTCACAAGCGACTCCATAGCTGGTAACTTAGCTGCTTATTTTTCTCTTTTTTGAGCCCTTCCATTCTTGGTATTCAACTCTTTTTTGGTGGGTGTTTTATTGGCTTGGTTCAACTTAGCTTCTCGCCTTCGAATTTACTTGATTTTATTTTTATTTTCAACGTAACGATGATGTTTATCAATTCTATTGCTACTTTTTACTCCCAGTTGTTTGTGAGAAGTAGGTTAACTATTATAATCAACAATATAGTTTGACTAACTACTGGCTTTCCATGGCGATAGAAATGAAATGTAGGTGGGCGTGTAAGTGATCCTAGATTCATGATGCGTATACCCATGTCGTGCTTGTGTGATTTTTCATATTTTATAGATTCTAAGATATTCTTGAACCTATGCCGTGAATGTCTAGCGCTTTGTATCCTGTTCTTATTATTTTTTTGTTATCATGTTTGCATTGAAGTAAAGTATTATCATGTCGGAACTCATGAGTGGCATCAGTAGTAAAAGGGAAAGGTAGTGTTGTTCTTCTTAGAAGACCTGGGTTAGAGCAGCTGTGTGTGTTGCCAATAGACTAGGAAGAATTATGAACATATACTACCTTGTAATCACTCCAGACTATTTAAAAAAATGTTATCATGTCTGCATTTTTTAAGAGATTTTTGTGGCATTGTATGGATGCTAAGTACTCTATTACTCTTACAGCAATAGAGTATTGCCCTATTGATTAGGGGTGCGCAAAAGGATCTGATCCTAATGATCCGATATAAAAATTCTGATATTCGATCTATTTGTTGATTTTCCGATAATTTAGATCTATATCCGAATTTTTGGAATGGATAAACTGATCTTATTTTTTTACACACCCCTAGATGGGAGTACCCTATATTGCTTTGATGCATCTTTTTTCTTGTAGAAATTATACCTGAACAATAATCAAATATGTGTACAGGTATAGTCCTCCCAGGACTCTTCAAATATATGATACTCTTGAATTTTTTTTAATATATTCGTGTCTGACTCTTGCACCCAGAAATGGAATGATTGAAATATATTTGTGTAATTGAATTAATGATGACTGGAAAAAGTTGAAGTTTTTATCTTTATTGGTAATGTTTGAAATAGCACATTCAAGAAGAAGGCTCCCAAGGCAATAAAGGAGATCAGGAAATTTGCAGAGAAAGCCATGGGGACAAAGGATGTAAGAGTTGATGTGAAGCTGAACAAGCACTTATGGAGCAGAGGGATTCGTAGTGTCCCGAGAAGGGTTAGGGTTCGCATTGCTCGTAAAAGAAATGATGATGAAGATGCAAAGGAAGAGCTCTACTCTCTGGTAACTGTTGCCGAAATCCCAGCTGAAGGACTGAAAGGTTTGGGCACCAAAGTCATTGATGACGATGAGTAATTTACTGATTTTCTAGTTAATGGAAACTTGAATTTTGTTTGAGACCAACAAATTTACATCATAGTTTTTTTTGTTAAGTTTTGCAGTAATTACTCGTGAGACATATTTCCGTTCATTGTTCTTTAGCCTCTTATGCTTTAATTTGTTTACTTAAACATAAGCTTCAGCACAGTAGTTCATGTCATCCTGCAAATACATCAAAGCGTTGATTCAACTTCCATGTGGAAGTTTTTAAGATGAAATTGATGAATGTAAAAAGAGTATTATAGTTGATGGGGAACTTGGAATTGTGGTGACTTTTGTAGTCATCTCATTTGATTCGGATGGAAAGGGGATGAGGGATATGGAGGGAAAGCCCTTAGAAAGTGAGACCCTCATTGAGCCGTGCATGATGTCTTATATACGTCTTTCGTATTGGTGTCAGGTTGGTGTCAGACCTAGGAAGATGATGACTATTTGTAGGTTTACAAGCTAAATAATTATAGAAATCGATACTAGATTGTATATTATGTGGACCTATTCAATAGGCGAAAAATGGCGGCATAAATGGTGGTTTTTAGAGAAAATTCTAAGAAGGTACAATAATTATATACTATTGACAGAGTGCCTTCCGTATAGGACTGTTCAGCTCGAGAGGTCGATCCAAACGTATACACACTACAAACGGCTGATGGAATTGAAACCAAAAAGTCTGATGGGCAATTGTTTTAAGGTTATACTATATGTTTATTACCTAAATTATTGTTTTTTTTTCGTTTTGATAATTCATTGTTAAAAAATTAATAGAATTGTTGATATGTCATTTTAAATTTTTTTCTCAATGTTGATGTGTCATTATTTTAAGGTGACACATCAGCATCATTGTTAATTTTTTAACAGCATGCGACTAAAATGAAACCAAAATTAAACTCTAAGTATGGTATAAAAAAAGTAGTTGGAGGATCAAAATGGAATAAATGCAATAGTTATGATACTAAATGTGTAGTTGACCATTTTTTTTAATCGTAAATCAGTCTTGTAGATCTCTCCAGCTTTGAAACACACTCTTTCGCTTTGTTTCAGCCAATCGAAGCACAGTCGTCTGCCCTTCTTTGAGTTGTTTAACAGCCGCCCCTCTTTCACTCACAAGTTGCCTACCAGCTCTTGGACAAAATCTTAAAATGTTTTTAAATTTTAAATTTAAAGGTGATTAAGATTTTTATTATTATCGAATCCTTTTTTGGAATTTGTCCTTAATTGTTTTCTTATAAAACGAAGGTTTCAATTCTTCTTTTGATATACCTGCAGTTTTCGATAAATATCTAGGGACAGATGCCAATATAAATAGAATAATATGACATGCTTGAATGTTTAGAGAATGATTTTAAAAAAATGAAAGGGGTATAATAAAATTTACATGAATTTTTATCCTTTATGATAATCGGTACAAAAAATGATGTAAAAATAAAGTTTTTGCAAAGTTGATTAAACGTAATGAAGGTTGATTATAATCTTTGCCTCTTACGGGTCCATTTAAATGGCCAAGTCCGTTAATTTCGAGCCTAATTCAACTTCCGGGTCTGAACGAGGCCCGTATATTTCAAAACACAAAATATAGGAACTCGACACGCTGTTCATGGTAGTTCTTATTCCATCACCTCCGCCTTAAGGCGAACCAGCAGCCGAAGTGCAGTCTTTTGTCAATCCGCCATGGGTAATTCTTCAACAGCTCCCTCGCTTTAACTTCTCTTCATTTTCATACGGCGTGTTCTCTTGTGCTTGGTTTTGATTGTTTTCTTTGGCAGGTAAGGTTCACGGATCTCTAGCTCGTGCCGGTAAGGTGAGAGGCCAAACGCCTAAAGTTGCCAAGCAAGACAAGAAGAAGAAGCCCCGCGGTCGCGCTTACAAGCGTATGCAGTACAACCGCCGTTTCGTCACTGCCGGTAATTACTCGTTCCTCTCTGTTTTTGCTTCCATTTTTTTATCTCATTCAGGTTAATCAACTGATAAAAAACCCCTCTTTTCCTTAATTTATGTTTATTTTTTAATGGGAAATGTTTTTTTTTTCATCTAGAAATCGGATTCCTTTTTTGATATTGGAGAAGGTTATATTGCAAACTGAATTTGACTAAAAGTATATGACTGTAAAGAACTGCGAATGGTCGTTAATTTAGGGATAGTTTATCCTGGGTTTGGAAAAAGTATTGAAAATGAACCGATTCAATAAAAGTTTTAAAAATTACACTTTGAAAATAGTAAAAAAATGTTATTTATGTATTTTTGGGGATATTGCAGTGGTTGGATTTGGTTAAAAGAGGGGACCAAACTCATCTGAGAAGTGAGAGAGCTATGTAAGTGGAGACCTGAAGAGCTGATGCAAGCTTTGATGGATGAAAACCCCTTGTGTTTTTATGTCATTTTTATTAGAAAGAATTGTTTTGGTAGAGATGATTTAGTTATATGTTATCGAGTGTCTTAAATTTTTGTTTATTATGAATGCTGAATCGCTATTATCGACAGGACGGAGTAATGGTTAAATATTAATTAAGTCCGAAATATTAAATTTTTTAATAAAAAAATATTAGGTATTAAAACTCAAAATTTGATACGAATGAAGTGACATTGGTGGTTAAAATATTATTGTCATCCCTTGAGGACCTGAGTTCGAACACTGTATATGTAGAGATATGAATGTTCATTGTCAAATAGTTGAGAGTCTTTGTATGAATATTATCTTGTATTTATTTTAGATTTATTAAGAAAAGCTCAAAAATTCACAAGACAATATTTAATTTTAAACTTACAATAACTTAAATTGTTATTAGATCAAAAAATTAAGAACATGGGTTATCTTTATTTAGTTTGGTTCTTACTTAATTAAATATTTAATAATTTTTTATATTTTTAATTTAAATATTTATTTTTATATGTATTTATTGAATGTATAAAATGTTACAGTGACAGGGTCTCAACAGCTCCGTCTCTGCTCATGGCCATTTCAATGCTCCTTATGATAATTAAGTTCCCCCCCCCCCCCCACCCACTTAATTGAGTTATTGAATTGCATCATGTAGTTCTTTTGATCAGTGAAGCAGGTTGGAGAGATGTTTACCTCAAAATGTTCTTAATCATATTGCAAGTATTGTTTCCTTGAATGAAAGTGCAAGACCCTACTTCTGCAACTAATTACAGGTGAACTTTTTGGTTGCTGAGGCGTATGGTTATTTGAAAAAGGTTGCACAACTTGTATGGCTTGCTTCATGGGAGAGGTTGTTTATGGATGGTGAAAGGTGCAGAAGGGGCATTACCAATGATCCATCATGTTCAGTTTGTGGAGGATGCCAAGAGGCAATTTTGCATGTTATGTGAGGCTGTACAATACCACATTCTTTATGGCGAAAGGTCAGGTGTTGCCCAATTCCAAATGTAGCAGTTTTTTTTCTTAATTTGGAAGTTGGGAATGAACATTGATGCAGTGAGAATATGTTGATGCAAAGAATGAGCTGAGCTGGGTAAGAAATGATGGAACCTTGGACCGCCTGGAGAGGCTCGGAATCAAAGCACCTACTTTAGCTCTGAGTGAGTCTGCAAGACACAATCAACTGCAGGAGGCTTATCACGAAACAAAATGGTACGTGGGTGTTAGGCTGCAACAGGAATGCCGTTTTATGTTTTGTAATTCAAGCACAACTTTGATCACTCTATGACTTTGCTTAAGAAGGTGGGTTTAGGATAGTTGAACTTGACTGTGATAATGAATTTGTAGTCCATATGTTTATGTTTCGAGATGTGAATTGTGGGAGACACCAACTTCCTTTGACGAGGAGACTTGAAGAACTAGAAAAGAGATTGGGAGGTCAGAAATATCTCTCGAGTTTCACATTTTGGCATGTTTTTTTTCCTTTTTTTAGTTGTACCGTTACACGAGTAAAAGTACAGGTTACAGGGCGTGCTTTCGTAGATTCACCTTTGACCTATGTAACATAAAAAAATGTTAATTCAAAAAATAATCTAAAACAAATATTAATTCATATAAATAAGTTTCAATGGGATGATATTTCAATAAAACAACCATGAAATTTTGCACGATATTTAAAAGTTGGGTAGCATTTCGTTAAAAAGAAGGTAGTCAGCTTGGTAATATCCAAACAAATCGAACGCAAAGTATATCAATAAATTGGGTGGAGATGGGGCCCAATCTCCATAAAATCAATCAAATGGGGCGCCACGTCAAAAGCCGACAAGCTCAATGAATAATCAATCCCACTTCCCAAGGCCAAACTTCTCCCTCCTCTTAGGTGACGTTTGGTTGAATATAATCTCTTAGAATTAGTGATAATTAGAATCTAATTCCACCATTTTCTCATATTTGGTTCAAGTTTTTCAAGGAAATTAGAATATCTGATGGAATTCAATTCCATCAAATGAGGGAAAGTGAATTCCAACTAAAAATAGATGGAATTCAATTCCCTTGGAGGGAATTGACATTTGACCATATTATCCTCATCAATCCTTTGATAACTTATTTATATATTGAATAAAAATATTTTTTTATTATTTCGGGTCGGGTCGGGTTTCTAATTCATATATTCGGGTCGGGTCGGGTGAAACTTTATTTTGGTCGGATCGGGTTTTTTTAAGTGATATTCGGGTCGGGTCGGGTTCGGGTTTAGGGTGAAAAAATCGGACAGACCCGAAAATATATATAATTCGGGTCGGGTCAGATTAAGTCATTGTTTTTATTAAATAAAAATAATTTTTTATTATTTCGGGTCGGGTCGGATTTCTAATTCATATATTCGGGTCGGGTCGGATGAAACTTTATTTTGTTCGGGTCGGGTCGAGTTTTTTAAGTGTGATATTCGGGTCGGGTCAGGTTTTTTTAAGTGTGATATTCGGGTCGGTTTTGGTCGGGTTCGAGTTTAGGTTGAAAAAACCAGATCGACCCGAAAATATATATAATTCGGGTCGGGTCGGATTAAGTCACTGTTTTTATTAAATAAAAATAATTTTTTATTATTTCGGGTCGGGTCGGGTCGGATTTCTAATTCATATATTTGGGTCGGGTCGGATGAAACTTTATTTTGTTCGGGTCGGG